CTAAACTACTCTTGCTCCTCTTCCTTTTTTCCATGACCCTGACTTTTTTGGGGGGGTGGGGGTGGGAGGGCTGGTTCTTAATTGCAGATAGACACGTGTCAGTTTTCAGTATTGACACAGTTGTCCTGTTGGTATCTTTCTCTCCCCCTCCCTCCCTCCTTCCTAGTTGACCCCAAACAAGACCACACCAAAGGAAAGTACATTTTAAGCCATTAAGTTGCAGGACGCACACCTAACACACCGCACAGAAACCTCACCAAAAGGGGGCGCTGGGTGAGGAACAGGCTTTGGCAAGACCAGCACCCCGCCAGCCTGCAGAGTAGAGGGAGAACTCACAGCCAAGTGGGGTGGCCTGTGCACCCCAGCCCCAAAGAGGTCGTGTTTCCCGAGAAGAGAGATTTTGCAGACGGGTTTTGTGCAGAAGCTATTCGCGATTTCTCCGGCACTTTGAGCCATGGTTCTCCACCCTCCTAATGCCTCCACCCTTTAATGCAGTTCCTCATGTGGTGGTGACCCCCCAACCGTAAAATTATTTTCGTTGCTACTTCATAACTGTTATTTTGCTACTGTTAGGAGTCCGGTGACCCCTGTGAAAGGGTCATTCAACCCCCAAAGGGGTCACGACCCACAGGTTAAGAACCGCTGACTCTGAGAGACAGCAGCGTCAGCCCAGAGTAGGGCCACAAGATGAGTTTTGGATGACTGAATCCTGGTACATGGTTTTCTTCTCTGACTTAAAAAAAAAAGGCAGGAAGCAAGTAAGCGGTTACCCCCAGAGGGGCACGTGCTGCATTCTGTGAGTAGCTGGGGCAGGAGAAAGGAGGGCACAGCGCTGTAACCCCCAGACCCAGGGATCTCAGCGGACTAATTGGTTTGGTCCTTTCTGATGACATGAAATACAATTCACCTTGCTCCAAGATAGAATGAAGGTGAAAACTTCAATAGCATTAAAACATTGTGTGTGGGTGCTGTGTGTGATGGCAGCTAACTCCTCTTGGAATCACCTGTCCACTTTGGCTGATGCGGTGAGGGTTCCCACCTGGGAACCTGTCCCTTGGCTTTGTTCTGTTCCCTGGAAGGCAAGTCCAGGCAGAAGGTATCTTCCAAAGTAAGAGAGGGTGAGACTAGAGGGCTGCCTCTGAGCTGTGGCACGGCTGGAATGTGTCACGTATGGTTGCCACAACTATAAGAACACCAGGTCATTACCAAGTGTGTGTCTACATCACAAGGTGCTTTTAAAGACACTGGCACCGTGTGTGTGTGCCCATTCCCTGAAATGTTCCCAAAGGTGCTCCGCCCCTAGCCTAGTTGAGGTCTCTGGGGAGAGAGGCAGAGAGAGTTTGAGACATTGAAAGGGAACAAAACAAAGAAGTGACGGGGTGTGTGGGTGAAAGAAGAAGGCATCCTTCCAATTAAAGATCTGCCCTCAGTTTAAAGGTCTCCCAGCTTCCAGCAGGCTGACCTTGGTGGGGTGGGGGTGGGGGGAGATGTCAGAGAAGTGGCTGGACGGGATGGGAGTCCTCCGCACCTCATTTAGGTCAAGTACAGACTAGTCCATCCTTTGTGAACAGCGGGTGTGCCTCTTGGGTGCCCGTCAGTTTGACTTCCAAATCACCCATCGGTCTTTCCCAGCCTGGCTACTGCCTCCTCGAGTCTATCCCCAAGCATCTTGATCTCCTCTTCACATTTGTCTTCTCTGTGAGACGACTTGTAGCTCACTCAGATGCTTCGACTTCTGGCCCACCAGTCTGATCTGCTCATCCATCTCTCGGCAACAGAACTCGCCGAGCTCGGTGTTTTCCCCTGTGCGATCCCCTTCAGGGATCATCAGTTGGCAGACGACCTCCTTGGACTCCCAGTCTGCCTCTTCAGCAGTGTGCTTCCCTTTTTTGAGTTGGATTTCCTAAAGTTCGTCTTCTAAGGCCTGGTTCTCGGTCACCGTCATGCGTCTCTCTCATTCTCAGCAACGGCGTCCTCTGATTCTTCCAGCTTCTGTAGTGCAGTGGCCAGGTGCTCCTGAGCAAGGTCCAGCCCCCGTCCGTTAGCCTGCGCAAGGAGGCCACATTTCCCCCCAGCACTTCCTGCTGGAAGTGCCCCTCCCTCTTGTCAGCATCATTGACCCGCTGCTGTGGAACCTGGATCTGTGTGGTTGTTCCCCCAGCCAAGGTGCCCCCCCAGCGATGGCTCACACACCTTCTTGCTTCCTCTGCCTCTGCTGGGTGTGCCGGTCGCTTCTCACTGCTGCTCCCACCTGCTCCACCCTGAAATCTACACTGACCGTCTGAAGAGCTCATGCCAGATGTCTTTTGTGTGCTAATGTGTATACATTTCTTTTTTAAAGTGTGTGGCTTGTTTGGATGAAAGTTTACGTAGACCATTCGCTTCCCATCTAGCAATTTGTACACACTTGGTTCCTTGACATTCGCTGGAATTCCCACAGTGCAGCAGCCGGTCTCCCCACTTCCCCCCTTGAGTTCCCCAGCTACGAGGCAGCCTTCTTTCTCACCCTTCCGACTGTGTGAGCTTTGTGTTTGAGTAAAGGCTGGTCCTTCAGTCTTAGGTGTTTGGTATCGTGAGGAGTCTGTTTCTCACAGGTGTGACTATTCACTTCACAGGCCTGTCTGTAGGTCGGCTGAACGGTGGTCTCCAGGGACAGGTTCAGTTCCAGACTTAAAGAACGACTAAGGGCCGCGGAGGCGCCCTGTTGGCATAATGGATTATGTGTTGGCTTGCTAACCACAAGGTCAGCAGTTCGAAACTACCGGTCAATCCTTGAGGGGAAAGATGCAGCTTTCTCCTCCTCTAAAGGTTTACAGCCTCGTTAAGCCCACAGTGGAAGTTCTACGCTGCCCTCTAGCGTCACTGTGAGCCGGAAGTCAGTCAGTGGCAGCGAGTTTGTAGGACCACAGTCCCGGGCATTCTGCTCATCGCTTATCAGACCAGCAAGTCTGGTCTTCCTAAAATGACATTGCGTTTTGTTCTTCGCTTGTTCCTAGTCTATCTAGGGACCCTCTGTGATCTAAATCGGAGTGGTTAGTAGCAGTAGCCAGGAACTGCCCACACCTGGCTTCGTCTCGGGTGCTGGGCTGTCCTGACCCCTCGTCCCCTTGAGTCGTCGGTTCTCTTCAGCCTTCTTTTATCTGGATGGCATCATCCCAGTTGTTGTTTTTGTTAAAGGTAATTCTTTAAAATGTTTTCTTAAAA